TGTATATTTTTTTTTGTTTAGAATGTACACTGTGAAAAAAAGGTATTTCTCTTTATGAAATAATCTATCAAAAAAGTTTTGTAAGCATTATTATAAAATATTTTAAAATATTCAACCAATGAAGATAGATCATTGTAATGTATTGAATTTTCATCTAAAGCAGAAATATCTTAATTTTATATGTGTACAAGAATGTGAAAAATATTGAAAGTAAAAACATATTAATGTTTCATATGATTTACATATGATACCCGTTTCATATGATTGTCATATGTAAATGGCTTTATATACACATAAACCATTCATATGCAAATCATATGAAGTTATTTTCATATGATTCAGATATGTGGATCATATGAAAATCATATGATTTGCTTCATATGATTCACATATGATGACCTTTTTCTATGATTCTCATATGAAACCAATCATATGAGAATCATATGATACTCATACTCGTATGTGGTTCATATGTGGCTAAGTTGCCTGTGTACAAATGTAGCTTTTCTGAAGCTTATGTAGTTCCGCTCTTCTGTTTCAATTTTGTAAAATAGATTGTACACAAGTAGCTCTGTTATATAACAGTTTATTACACAAAATAAACGAAATAAAGTACTAAAATGAGAAATGGATGAATCGATGAATATGCAGAATGAATTAAATTTAAATAAAAAAATAAACATATCAATCCTCAATCCAAGTATTTTTCTAAAGAAAAAGGGGGAGGGGGCACACCCAGAAAAGAAAATACTGACTCAGAAATGTTTTTGGTAAGTAAGAATTATTTAAAAACGGCAATAATCTGAGTCGTCAAATCTTATTTTTAAAAAAAAAATAATTTTAGAAAACAGGGAGGGTTATTAACTAATGTATATGTTTTTAAGAACTCAGGAGGGAAATTTACTTCTAGGGACGTTCCCCTTCTACATTCTCCCATAAATATATTGGATATTTGAAATAGGAACTTTTTGTAGTGGTAATATAAAAAAAGAAAACAAAATGCCGAAGATGGAATTCACCACATCTTAACTTAGGATATGCCTTAGATGCTTTCGTCATACACCATAAGTACTTAAGACGTATCCTAAGATATCCCTAATTTAGCATTTATTTGACAGTTCTAAGAAATGTAAAAGAATATTAAGTCCGTCGATAACCTGTACTATACGTAATAAGTCTCCTCATGCTCCTGTGCTAAAAAAAAGTACCAGACGACTTTTAATGAAAATATTTTTTAAATGGGGCAAATTAACATTGATATCCCAGACTTTCAAAGGAAGCGGGGGACAAATACTGAATTCTACTTAATTGTGTTGAACAGTAAGGAACATATCACCTTTAGTTGAGATAGATTTTTGAGCTATGTTTTAGTGAAACTTGTGATAAATGCGTAGATGATGTTGTTTTTTCCCAACAATTTTCTGCCTGTAAAGTAACATATGCTAATGTTGGAACGGGAACAGGATAAACACGATAGAGACTGGGGCGTTCGCGATATTTCTAGATATTTTATACCAAACACAAAAAAAATGACTTTCAGCCCTTCTGGATTAAGAACCCCCTAACAGCGAGTAAAGATGTGTTTATTAAAAAGAATTCATCTATTAATACTGTGAAAATAATGCAAACTATTGGGAAAAAATAAAAATCTATAAAATAATAATTCTATCTATGAAATGAACTATGTTTACTGTTAATGAAAAAAATATATCAAAGAACTCTTTTTGATCTAAAATAATCAGATGTTAATAATATTTGTTCACCTGATATCTCTGTCCTCCAAGCATCATATTTTCCCACGTAGGTATCTACAAAAGAAAGAAAAAAAATATAATACCTGAATCGCTAGAAATGTGTCAAGTCGACATTAAAATAGTTTTATTGTACTCTTAAGATTAATGCTGATAAAAACCCAATTCATCCTCCTAATTATTTGTTAAACAAGCAAATTAAGAGAACTGATCACCCACTTTTAGTATGGTGAGATTGGGAGTTGATGTCTTGCGACTTTGTATGCTATGATCAAAGACACATTAAGTAAATATAACAGTTCTGTCTAGAAATCCAGAGATTTCCGAGAGGGTGAGGGGTTGGGTTTAAGGAAGGAATAATAGAAACTTAAACTGTTATGAAACAAACGATTATCATGAGTTGTCAGCCAGAAGATTATTTGGCGAGATCAAATCTTGATCTGATGATGTACCAACCCGTTTTACATCCCACTGAAACTTAAATTGATACTTTATTCCTTATATTTACATTTGTGACTTATTTATTAAAAATAGTTACGTACTTAACTAAAGTTTGAAACCCTTAACGTATTTTTTTTCAAAACTAAACGGTATACATTTAACGTGTTTATAACATCGATCGCTTATGACGTCACTTTCAAACTACATAGATCCATTTTGACTAAATAATCAATTTATGGTCACATGGCGAACTTGTTTAACGGAGATGTAAAAGCGCCTTGTTCAAATAGTGTCTTATAAGGGAAAAAATTTGCAAATGTAAATATATATTTATCAAGAAAGGGGTGACACATAATACAGTACCGACCAGACCCAACCTGACACTAAAGCAGTGCCAGAAAGCAGTCCCCGGGACTGCTTTGGGACCGCTCTGGGACTGCTGTGGGACTGCTCTCGGACCGCTATGGGACTGCCCTAGGACTGCTCTAAAAAGCAGACCCAGCAGTCCCAGCAGTCCCAGCTGTCCTTGGGACTGCTTTTTGGGACTGCTTTGTTCACTCATGCGTTAAAGAAGTTCTGAGTGACATGATAGCTCCGCCCCCTTGTGTATTCTGAATTTGCAGGCTCCCACTTGTTTTGTTTACTAGCAGCAGAGAGGAGCTAAACTATTAAAAAAGCAAGATTTCTTACAATCTTTCCATTAGAAGAGATAATTATAGTTAATTAATATTTTCAGAGACTGTACATTTACACAAATATATTTTTTTTAAAGTTATTAAATAAGAAAGTCAGAAGTAGATTTTTATCCCTAAAAATAACTTACAGGTTTATGAGAAAAAAATATCTACATGTAGGTCTATTTTATTATTTATTGGAAAATTATGTGCACTCAAAATTTGCATTGACACTATTTAAAAATAATCCTTATACAGTAAGATATAATATTTTTAATTGAAAAGCTCCATGTTTTACGAGCACCAGTCGAGAAAGGTATCCCATGCAACCCTAAATAAAGCCTAACAGTTTATTAAATGACCATGAAATAAAATTATGCTACCAATCTTCTATAACTCAAACAATTTGAATAATCATCAGGGAATTTATTAATGAATTACCGTTAGGTTTTTAATTTATAAACAAGTTACCAAAAGAGAACATTTATTTTATAAATATAGAGTTGAAAATACCGGGAATTGTGATTTATTTCTTTTTTTCTTTTGCTTGTGTTTACATGTACCTGGCCGATTAATGTTTATTACATGGTATCAACACCCGCGGTTTAAATCGCCTTAGGGCAGAAAATCAGTGCATGCTATTTTGGTATACGTATCAGCGTTTCACATCATTGAACATGCTGGTCAACAATGACCCTAATTTCTATCTACCGGTATATAATGCAAAAATAAAATTGATTACTAAAATGTGTTTGAATTTCTTTCAGGATTAATTAATTTTGAACATAATCTGATGGTTCCATTCTGGTGAATTAGATATGTTCATTCTAACATTTACAAATTATACGCTTAAAACTGAGTATTAAAGAGATAGAGATATTAACAATAATTAAATTGACAAGTCAGTAAAAGAATTTTCTAAAATCCCGCTAGTATGGAAATTGGCCATATAATGATGAGATCTATTTAAATCTAATTCTTACTGGTGGAAAATAATTAATTCACATTTAATTTCCTGTATTAAAAATAAATGGGACACAGTATAAATCACAGAAAATAAAGAAATTGAATTATTAATTTCATTCATAATTTCATAATTGTGATTAAATGTTCATGTTCAGTTTAATTCATACATGTACGTGTGAAACCTTTCTTCCTTCAATAAATAATCATTCAATTTGTTTCTATGCGCGTCCTGTTAATAAATGACCTTCGCATACATGTAAGGAGTCCTGGCATACTACCCAGAATCAATTTCTACTGCCTTTTATAGTTCCATTGTTTATTGCAAATCTCATTTCTGAGTTAGCTCCGCCTATTAAACTAATAAACCCCGCCCACTGGGACTGCTGGGACTGCTTTCTGGAACTGCTGGGACTGCTCTCTGGGACCGCTGGGACTGCTGGGACCGCTCTGGGACTGCTGTGGGACCGCTGTGGGACTGCTCTGGGACCGCTGTGGGACTGCTCTGGGACTGCTGTGGGACTGCTTAAGCAGTCTCAGAAAGTAGTCCCCGGGACTGCTTTGTTTCAGGTTGGGTCTGGTCGGTATTGTATAAAAGAAGTTGTCTAGTAGTTGAATTCCAATTTGACATATTTTTTAAAGATATACCTGCAAAAACATGTAATTTTATGAGTTTTGCAAAAGCAGTTTCTGTGGTTCCTTCATCCTCAGGATAAGTAACTGGCAGCTGCTGTATAGTGTTGGAAATAGAGTCCATTTTCCTGTCTTTCCCTCCTTGATCTTGCGTATTGATGTCAAATTTCTCCTGCGAACTATTGTTTATTTGCTTTTGAGTTCTGTTGTCAAATTGATCTTGTGCATTTTTGTCACTTTGCTCAACTGTCTTGTTTGTGGTCTGTTCTTGAGAATTGTGATCAATCTGCTCAGTTGTACTGACTATGTCTTTGAAATGAAGAGAAATTCAACATTACATGAAATGTAGAATTCAATGTAAATCAATTTGAATTAAAAAAGATAATCTCAGCAATATTTTCACAATATAATTACCTTGAGGTTTTATCTTCCCTTCTGGCAATAACTTCTCATTTTCAACTTAAAAAAAAAGAAAAAGAAAAGAAGAGATATAGAAAAAGATCAGAAAATACGCTAAAAATCCAAAATATATCTGATATTAGAAATGTAAACCTTGCCGAATTTCTTCATCACATTTAATACTTTTCCGTTTGAAGAGAATGCATGGTGTGTCTTCTTGTTCCTCAATATTCTGATTCTGCCTTTTCCTCCAAAGGACCACAGCAAATATCAGAATAACCGCAAGTATAAACAGACCAGCAGTCAGACCGCCTGCAATCTCTGCTGCATAAGATGGGTCGTATTGAGGAGCGGGTGTTGTTATTTGGATATCAAATGAAGTGTTGCTGGTAACAGTGCTCCATGAGCTGTTATAAAAAGAATACAAGGTAACATCACCCACTTGTTAGACACCTTGGCAATCAAGTCGTTTCAAAAAATCGTTTGCAGATATTTAAAATCCCCCATATAGACGTAAAGAGATTTATCAAATAAACGTCATTTTGATTGTGACGTTATTGTATTCAATTGTGACGGCAGTCCAGGGTACTGTGACGTGCCTGAGTCAACACTGCGTTAAAACGTATGCTCAGATCAAGTAAACAGGGCCTGGTTAAACCATGGTCTTGTCTGATTGTGTTTGCAGCTTTAAATACACAATATATTCTACATGTTCTAGTTACGGAAAATATATCTAAGAATTTTCAGTTAGTAAATAAGTATTTTTCATACAGTTACATCCACTTAGTTACTGACAAATATGAATTACTTAAGATATCACATGTAATTTTTTTTGATTTATTGAATATTATATTTATAAAGACTAAGAACATCATTTCAAAATAGCATAATTTATTATTAAATGTTTTTTTTTATAAATGAAGTAACCAATTAAGATTCTATGTACAAAGTGCATCAATGCAAAATAATGAAATATATAAGGTGTTATTCATACACTTCTAATAGTTTCTAGATAAATATGGTTATTTTTTATATGGAAGTAAGAACATCAAAAATAAATTTCATACATTTCGTAATTTTTATTGGAGGGGGGGGGGGGTGTTTAATAAGATACTCACATATAAAGGCATGAGGATTCAGCAAGAAAACATTGTTTTTCAGTGTTGATGCTTTGACAAGCAGGATCTAAATACAAAATAATAATAATAATAATAATTAATATTTGAATAAATATATCAATGGATCAATTTTACAAATTGAAATGTTGTTTTGATTCTATTTTAAGTAATATATCTTAATGAAAAAACATTTTAAAAACAAATGATCTTACACTGATATATTGTATTGCTTTGATAGTCTTCGTCAGGACAACCTGATGAAAATCCAAGACAATCGACGCGATAAAGGTTTTCTCCGTCGGTTTCCAAACAGTTGCCTTAAAAATGAGTGAAAAAGAAACGGGTAAAAAAAAAACAAAACAAAACAAAACAGGAAACAGACTATATTGGAATTGTATACAACATTTAATAGTGAATTTCACGCAAATGTTTCAATTTTTTGTTGCATCGTTAAAGATTCTCAAGAAATTTGAAACTGCAGCGAAAGGTTTCTAAAAATTGCAAGTTTAATCAAACTGGGGAGTGAAGCGTACGGAACGACAATGAACTAAAAAGCTTTTGCATATCAAATTAGAACATTTTTTTCTGAGATTTAATGCCAATGCTATGATTGGTCTTTTATATTGAAATACCATAAGGTTAATTAAGTCTGTTTAAACGTTACTCCAGGGGTAAGATGGGGCATCAATGGATGGTCAAAGTTTGAAATAGAAGCATACAGTTAAAAACTTTAAAAACCTTATATCCAGGAAAACAAAAGCCAAGATTGGTTATACATGTATTTATATTGACAAATTTTTAGGTGGTGTTGATTTGATTTTATACAAATGATGGCCCCGTGGGAAGGGTTTGATCGCAATGAACAAAGTTCTACAGAGGAACTCATGGGAGAACTCATATAAAAATCGTCTTCTGAAGAACAGTAAAGCCATTGATGTTTTTTTTTATTTATTTCGAAGCATTCCTAAAGCTAGGAATTGTAGATTCAAATTGTTCCTATCATGACCCAGGGGAAGGGTTTGACAACGATGAAAGTACAGACATAAAAGGGGAGAGTCCCAGTTAGTCAAAAAATACCAAGTATACTTGGTTTATTTGAACTCAAGTTTGTTCATGCCTACCATACCACCTCCTCCCATTTCAGACCCGTTCGGGACAACTTTTCAATACTGAATAATATTTGCGTTTTTTTTACTGGCCACAGTCACAGGTGAGCAATGAGACCATGTACCTCTGTTTTCTTATTTAATGCGCATTTTATTTCTCCTTTATGCAAAATGAAATTCAATGAATAAATAAGTAAATAAATGAATAAAATAAAATGAAAGAAGAAGATACGGTTTTGGTTTTATTTACTCTAGGAATATATTGTTCCTTAAAAGTTATGAAGTTGCTTTAACAATAGTTGAGTATTTGAATATTGAAGAAAATGTCATTAAAGAGGACCATTCTGGAAATTTGAAGTCGTTTATTTGGTATATTTCCAAGTTTTATTCAGAAAGTCTCAAAATGACTCATGTCTGTGCTTATTTCCTTTGGAAAATAATGTCTGCTGCCGTGGCTTACTGAAGGATATATTATGTAAACTGCTTTAAAAAAACACACATTTGAAAATTTTTGAGGACGATGCATGCAGACTGTTTTTCTGAAAGAAAATACCAATTGAAATTTTGATGCTTTTTGCCATTTTTCTAAAGATAATACAGCTAAATGTACAAATTTATGACGTCAAATTTAGCATTTGGGAGGTCATTAAGGAAAAACCAGTTACACATGTATGTATTCTTATTGCATTGGATATCCATGATTCAGAGAGAATTTGAATTTGAATTGCTTTTATCACTTTTATAGTGATGAAAAATACATATATATTATTATATTAGTAACTATATTGATCCGAAAAGTCGTATGAATTCGCTTTAACAGGCGCGGATCATCAGATCTAACGAGACGCGAAGCGTCGAGTTTGATCTGTATGATCCGCGAAAAGTCAAAAAGACGAGATACGGCTCTTCGGATCAAGTTACTGTTATAATGATAAATTCATTATATACCCCCTCATAACTAGCAAAATATAGCAAAAGAAAACTTTAGAGATCAATTGCATAACATTTATCCATAAAACAAAGCATAATAACAAGGGACTTTTTAACGTGCAAGAAAAATAACGTCATATTTCTGCGTACTACGTCATCAGTTTCAGAGAGTGGTGATATGGATTCAGAAAACAACATGCTGGTGATCCGGAAAATCGGATCACGACGTCACGTGATAGCGTAAATTCAACAGTAAAATTGGGTGAAACATATTAGGTATATAATAAAGGGCTATATTCGCATTGAAATTATACTATGATCTTTAACAACTTAAATAATGAATAATTAAGGCAACAAAAATAATTAAAATATGTTACATTATCAGATTCTTTAAACTACATTTTTGAATTATTAAATTGTGCTCGTTCTAAATGTTCAAACAAAACGAAACCTTAAATGAAATGCCTTCAATTTCCACTATTGAAGAGTTATAGCTCTTAGTGCGCTTCTTTTGTAGAAAAGTCGGAGAATGTACTAATCTCGCGGGATTTCTTGGACAAGCGTAACATAAACATGTCAGCAACACGTTGAATGACGATTAACAAAACCTAAGAAAATGCATAAGAAAGTTTTTATTGTCTTGGAATTTATTTAAATCAAGAGTAAAGATGGCAAGGCATTTAAAGTCAATACACATACCTTAGAAATATCGTATTTTTATTAATGGATGATAAAGTTAGGGTTTTCGCCCTTTTACATATGTCTTTTAGTTCTTCTATTTTTTAGTAAGTGTGACAAATGCGCATAACATCTAATATTGGGTTGTTACTGGCATGTTTTGTATTATCCACAATGTCATGCTGTCCCAGTCAGACGACCAAACGTGCCCATAATTCTGAAGAGTTCACTAATGGAAATATATAACGTATTGCGTAATTAAAATTTTGTCAGATTGCATTAATCTATGTTTTGTAATTCAAATACTTATTTGATAGTTTTCAAATAGATTCTAACACATTTAATACAAAAAGGTGTTTTTTTTATTTTTCGTCAATTTCCCGGAGTTGTTCTTTTTCTTTAATTTCCTATTCAATGAACGAGAATTGGCAATGCAGATGTGTTGAATTTACTATCTCGCATTTTTACTCCGATTTTTATGGATTATATCTAAAATACTACATCTATATGATACACGAGAATTGTTTTTCTTTGATATATGCAAAAAATCTTCGTAAAAGTTTAAGGGAATCTTAAAAATAATTTTTTCCCGAAAGTCTTATTTTTCGGGTAATATTTTAGATGAAAAAAGTTTAAAACTATGTTTTTAACACATTGGTCTGAAATGCTTAAGAAAAAAAAGTCGTGTTAATATTCCAGGATATTAAGTATATATTAACTTCAAAATTGTGCCACACTCCTTTTAAAACTAATAACACCAGACTACTCACCCCTTTCTATTAATTTCATGACTCCCCTGAAACACAGCTGTACAAGTCCTGTTTTGTTTGTATGTGGGACACAGATGTACTGATTGTTTCCATATATGTCCTGACCACAACCCAACCTGGTGGAGGATTCTAAGACCTCTGTAATATTCCGAGGACATGATTCCACAAAAGTTTCCATTTCTACGGAAAAAAATATTATTTGAAATAACTAGCAAATAGATAATAGCAAGATATGAACAATTTGCACATTGTTATTATTTAGCTGAAGAGTGATCAATATCATATCACAGTAACTGTTACAGTTATTATATAATGATTATGTTGTTTTTATCTGTTTGAAACACTGCAATATGCCAAGACAAAAAAAATTCAACATTTTTTTAAATATTATCAACCTATTAATGCCATCTTTTAATGCAACCTACATGCATCTTTAAGTCGTACTTTTGGTGTCATATTTCATCCCAATTTTAAAAGAAATACATCATCGTTCTGTTAACCATGTACTACTCTCATCACCTGAACAATGGGGATGATGTTTAAACGATAGATATATGTTCATAACTTTTACAACAATAAGGATTATGTTTGAGGTACTTCGATCCTCAGATTCTGAATATCAAGCATTGAATAATTGAAAATGCTCACAAAGATGTCTCTGAATTTTCAAAGTAATGTGTTTTTACCAATAATAATTCTTCAAACTTCATCACTCAAGTTCATATTATATAAAGAAAATTGGTAAATCTCAAATACTAAGTATATTTTCAGGAATTGCGAATAAAAACACCGGCTTTGCTTTTTCCACTGCAAATTTGAGCAATTAACACATTTCAAAATTAAAATCATAGGTATCCAGGCTTTTGAAGAAATTCAATTTCTTTTATTTACTTCTCTCTTTTTTTAATTCAAAGTGGATAAATATTCTCCTGTCATTGCAAAGCTATATAAATCACTTTTAATTTCATTTCAGGTGAATAAACATTGGTATCTACAGTTAGTATACAGTTAAAGTATATCATTGAGGGAGTCAGCAAGATTTCAGTTCCCCAAGAGCAAGTCTATTTCTAGAGGCGCTTGCTTGACTCCCTCAATGATATACTTTAATTGTTTTATTATACTGATACAAACAAAACATTTGAAAAAAGTTATACTCAATACTGTATTCTATAACAATGTTTAATTCCAACACGAATAAATAAAAAAGAACAACAAAACAGAATACAGACATGAATAGAATTCCATTTTATCAATAAATCAGTTCATTGTCCGAGTTTTTACTTAGTAAAATCGAAAGTAACATTATGTAAATCTTGAGCTCGTCATTTCTGTTGTCATTTATTAACAGTTAACTGGTTCTTTTTGATTGATTTGGGACCAGTTGACTCGCAGTGCATTTCGATTCATTAATGAATATTCATGAGTTTATTCGGAACAGTTCTAAGTTTGTCGTAAGTTGAAAGAAAATGCGAGGTGTTTCGAATATGTGTGTATCAGTTCATCAAAGAAACGTACTTTTTTGCAGGGAATCAGTCTGTTTTGCGGGGAATCGGTTTATTCACGGTGATTTTCAAGAAATCAGCAAAATATATCGATTTACTTTTATATAGTGAAAAATCAGTAGAGGTTTAATAAATTAAAATAAACATCAATTTCTTGATATATGTAATTTTAAAATGCTTTCACGGGGTAAAAATTTCGACTTTTAAATTGACCTTTTTGAGAACTTCAAAGAACCTTCAAATACATTGAGAGGTATATAATAAAAATTGTTGTATGAAAAGATTTAATTTTTAAGCTTCATTTTGAGATTTTTTGAATAAGATTATAAATTAAAAAGTGGTCCTTCCTTGCTGAGGATCGGAGTCCCTTAAATGATCGATATTTGTCCTTGACTTCTACCTTTTCCATTTTCATATTTACAATAACAATATTAATGAAAAACAAGCTATTACTACATGTTTTTTTTAAAGTTGATATAACCAATTTAAACTATATAGATACTACGTTAGTGTTTTTACTGCATGCTTTAAAACAAAAAGTATTCCTTAGAAGTAAAAGTCAATATATTAAGAAAATTGTATGTCCAAGAAGGGTACTGAATACATTTTCTGCATGATATCAACAGCGTCTTTGCTTATCGACCCTATTTTGCCTCAAAATGAAAGGAATTCTTGTAAATAAGCATAAATCTAGGACAGATAAATTATATTAACAAGGTCCGAACAGAATAGGTCTGAAATCGGACTCTCCTTGACCTAGCTAGCGTCATTGTATGATTTTCGTTAAAAGTGCTAGAATAACGCTTCAAATCTGTCTAAGAACGTGGGCCCTGTGTTTTTACAAGTTTTGTTGGTAGAATTTTATCAAAGATTATCGGGGATCGAACGTTAGAGAAATATCAATTTAAATGCTAGAGCATACCAACTGTGACTGATATTTCTGGGAAAAAAACCTGTCTTCCACAAATCACCTGAATCAATGTTATTTAACCATTAATAACTATAATTCGTGGCATGGGCTAGCAAAGAAGGGAAGTTTAAAAAAATCTGTTTTACAAATTTGGTAAAAAGAACAATAATTTATTTTTGAATTAATTCAATGTGTTTTCTGACGGATATATCTTCACAAATGAAAAAAAAAAACACGAAAGAAAACAAAAAGGAAAAGAAGGTTGAGCTATAGTTACATAAACATATATAACAATCCCTATGTCGTTATTTCAATAGATTCGTAACTAGCAGAAGTATTTCGAGATACAGCCCTAGTTTACAGGTTTGTTATCATTTAGTTGTTAGTCGGTATTTTGTAAATGTCCAGTCAATCGGAAATTGCAACTACTGTCTTTTTACGTTATCCTGTTTGACAATATCTTCTCTTAATATTTCACATTGACAATGTTACTTTTGCATAGTTCTTCCAAAATAGTTGTATTCAAACAAAAAAATATATATTTCTGTTTACTGGATCAAAGACGCCTAAAGCACTATTCATAAAACGAAAGTTGATCATGTCTAATGGTATAAGGACTTCATTTATCAAAGTCTACCCAAAAATACCATCATTTATTATGCCAATATCAATAATGTAATTTTTACCTTTAAAAATTATCCTTGATCCATCGCTTCGGTATAATTTTTCATAATCAATACAAAATAATGAGTGAACCCCTTGCGGTTTGAGTACATCTAACCCGATTTAAATATCCGGGTTACCTGTTTTTAAAACATTGCTGTGAAGGCATTCCTTAAGGCTTTGTTCTCGCAGTCTTAAAATTTACCTATGGCAGTCCGATATTAGTGAGCAGTCTGATGTTAATCGTAATATCAGACTGTGTCAGTACTGATTACCTTTAACATTGGACAGCTACTGAACAAAAGAAATAAAAAATGTGATGATTAAACAAAGAGTACTAATTAAAATTTCTTACTTAGATGTTGATTTTAAACCATTAATCTTACAGAATTGCAAAATAAAAAATAAAAAAAAAAACACAAATATACCTTAACAGGAAGAAGAAAATGCAACAGACCAGATAACTCAAATAAAAAACATCGAACAAAAAACTCATAAAAAACGAGTAAACTTCTCATGAACTTATTAAGATTGGAGAAGTGTTTCAACCATTAATTTCTCTGGTTTTCGAAAAAGAGTGGGCACACTGGGGGTCACCAGAGAAGCATATAAACTTATAAAGAAAAAAATTCATAATTAAACACAAAGTTGAATTTTAAATTTTCAGTAAGCATAACTTTTTCTAACTAAAGAATTAACCATACATCACATTTTTATTCTAGATAGAAATAGTGGTGTTTTTGTAAGCAAGAATTACTTCCGAATGCTTTCCGAATAAATTTTAAAATAATTTAATAAGGCTTTTTTTAACAAAAATTGTATCAGACAGTGCAAACTGAAACACGACCTACGTATTAAACTGAGTAAACAAAAAAACTCTTTTGATTTAAAAATAAGTCATAAATGTGAACATTTGACATCCAATTATCATCCCATTGCTGTATGCCTCAGTAATGGCCAATAACCCAGCTCTAATCGGACATCCCAGGGGCTGAAGGTTTGACGATGTCAGCCAAAACTATATTTATATCTGTTATCAGTCTCCCTGAGTATTTCTCCATTATGATATCTGAAAAATAATATAAGAAGTAGTAAATTTTTGCTTTTCTTTTTTTTCCCTTTTTAAACTTGATAAAAATAAAGAAAAAAAAAGTCATTTTAAAATTATTACTGATCCATTAGTCAAAACAAGATGTGTTTGTGAAACACTATGCGCCCGGCGTCAACAAAGTTCGAAAAAGCTATTTTTTCTATGTAAGTCACAGTCAAGGTCACAAGGTCATTGACATTGGAGTTGTTTGTAAGAACTAATATCATATATTTGGTGATATGAAGTCCATATCTCTTATGATTCAAAAGTTATGGCAAAAAGTGGAAAAGGCTATTTTTACCATATATCATAGGTCACAGTCAAGGTCACAAGGTCATTGACCTTGATGTTATTTGAAAGGACTTTATTAGTGGAGTATGCATACTAAATATTAAGTTTCTGTCTTTTATGGTTCAAAAATTATGAAAAACAGTTGAAAAAGCTATTTTTAGCATATAGGTCACAGTCAAGGTCACAAGGTCATTGACCTTCATGGCAATTGAAAGACCTTTATTAGAGAAGTATGTATACCAAATATAAGGTCCCCATCTCCTATGGTTGAAAAGTTATGTCAAAAAGTGGAAAAAAGCTATTTTTAGCATATACCGTAGGTCACGGTCAAGGTCACAAGGTCATTGACCTTGATGTCATTTGAAGGAACTTTATTAGTGGAGTATGCATACTAAATATGAAGCTTCTATCTCTTATAGTTTAAAAGTTTTGACAAACAGTTGAAAAAGCTATTTTTAGCGTATTGGTTACAGTCAAGGTTAAAAGGTCATTGACCATTATGGCATTTGAAAGACCTTTATTAGAGGAGAATGCACACCAAATATGAAGTCTCCATCTCTTACAGTTCAAGTTTTGGCGAAGGTTTAAGTTGACAACAGACAGACAGACAAACAAACAGGACAAAAACAATATGCGCCCAGAAAAATTCGGGCACATAAAAAAAGGATCAATTGTACCAACTAATTAGAGATGTTAAGTTGTCAAGTTGTCATGAGTTTTAAATTCAGCTACAAAATCATGATAATTGTAAATTATTGATTTTAATTTAGAAGGCAAGGTCATTAAACTTGGGTTAACAAACTATTTTCATTCATGTTTGAAAGTAAGATAAATGTTTTAACAAAGCTTTACTTTTTAAATTCTTAAATCTTAACACTTACTTACCATAAAGGACCTTGAGCTTATCTTGGTCGTCCAGAGGGGGACGCACCTTCCCATTTTTCTTGCTGGCTCCATGATGGCCCGTTATGGAATGTCCTTTTAATTCTTCAAACGAGAACATTCTTCTGAGGAGCCATTTTGCGTCCCCTTTCCAGCCCTTACCTGGAAGGTCATGAACCAGTTGAGCCTGTCAGATAAAACATGGTAATCAGAGATCACAGAGTTCACCTTACTTGATTTTTATCTTGAAGTTCTGTAAGCAAGTTCAGTAATGTGCATCCTTTGACATGTCATCCAAGAAAGTTTGGTAAATATAGAGCTTATGTGACCTTGAAATGAGATCTGCTCCAAAAGCTTTAAACTTGGGATACCAAATGCTGAGGATAAATTTAATCCAATTACCCCTCAACTTTGATGAGATGTGCTAAAAGTGTATTAAATTATTGCACTATACTTGAAATAGAGAAATACTGGATTAACTGAAAATCTTGACACCTGTTACTTACCTTCGTAAATCCATTGTTTAAGGACTCCACTTGATGCTGATCCTCTTGTGCTGCGTCATGTGATATAGGAGGTCTCCCGCTCTGTGTAACAATAAAAATCTTAATATTTTCTTTTTTAGAAACAATATCATTAGACCAAAAATTCATAACATGCACATCTTTTGAATGAAATAAACATTGCAAGTTCTTGAACACTTCTTGTAAAATAAACTTGTTTAAAGTGTATCTGAAATAATAAACCAAATTACTAAGACATAATACACCTAAAGGCTTGTACATACCAGAAGTGGCCCACTGACATTATGTTGCTGCTGCTGTTGGAACACAAATTGTTCTACCTGCAAAATTAAATGTGCAAATAAAACAATTCAAATTCAGATTTATCATATAATCCTTGCCTAGAAATAAAAAAAAAATATTTGAAAATTAAAATATTTACATACCTGATATAGTCTTGTGTTTAATGAGTAACAGTTTTGCTGCACTTCATACATCTGACGTTGTAGATTTTCATTTGCCAGACGTAACTGTTCACAATTTTGACATGGAGTTGGATAATATGGGGTTGGTCTGGCGAAATATGGAGGCCCATCCATGTCTACAGCCATAGACACAGCTTCTCCGAGCAGAGTTGTTGTACTGGCTGGTGATGGTGCTGATATGTCTGAGTATGAGGGTGTATAAGGTTGTGAAAATGTCGTATGAATTGAGGATGCAGGTGATGTAGATGTCTCATATTGCGAAATGGATGAAGTCTGTGTGGATGTAATTTTTTCGGATGGGGCCTGTGGAGTTGGGAGTGAAGTGCCTGATGATGATCCAGTAGATGTTGATGGTGTTAAGGGAGTGGAATTCTTTTCTGTTGGACTTTGTGATGATGATGATCGAGGAAAAGTTGATGATTTTAAAGGAGTGGAATTCTTTTCTGTTGGACTTTGTGATGATGATGATCGAGGAAAAGTTGATGGTGTTAAAGGAGTGGAATTCTTTTCTGTTGGACATTGTGATGACGATGATCCAGGAAAAGTTGATGGTGTAAAGGGAGTGGACACTGACATGATAGTCTTTTGAACACTTGGCCCTGGCTGATCAGGCAGCTCCATTCTCGATGCCATTAGCATGTCTGCAACATGTGCAAGTTCTTTGTTCTGAAAAATTTTACACATATTACAACTGTTTTTATTCACAAATTATTTTCCTAGAAAGCTACCAGTCAGAGGGTCCATTGTTAAAGATATTTCAAAGGAAAATGACACCACTGTACCAAATACTAAAGCAAAACAGTATTATTTTAGGTTCTAAATTTGAAGAAATAAGTTACTTACATGTACAATCTCCTTTTCTTTCTCATTCTTCTTCTTTTTCTTTGCATTGCCCTGTAATTTAATTCAGAATGAAAATGGAATTTACTACACAAACTAAACCAAAACAATTTAAAGCCAAATTACAGTATGCATTAAAAATAAAATAAGTGCAGGACAAATATCATGTGATGTCCCTGAATATTTCCAAAATTAACATCCTTCATAATATAATATTTGATATAATAAATGATTCATAAAAAATAAGTCTGATTAGGTCATAATAAATAAATTGCTAGATTCTCATCCAAATTTTTTTGAAAATCGAGGCTTGCAGGTGGCTTTTAACAGGGGATGACAAATCCCATTGCCCGACGCCCGGGGCTAGTGAATTTTAGGGGTGGGCAAGTGAAATTTTATCAACTACTTGCCTGTGGGCAAGTGACTTATCAAAAGTAGAATTTATTTGTAGGCCATAAATGTAAAGCTCGGCATAAGGGCTTGTTTTTGTCTTTCTCTTTTTTTTTTTGAAAAAAAATATCTATAAATACAGAATTAGTTTATGGTAGGACAAGCAAACATTCAGGTAGGGCAAGTCAATTTTGACGATCTACTTGCCCTTGGACACGTGGCTTAACTAGAACTGTCCAATCGGGACAAAATACCCCACGCTGGGTTTTTCAGAAGTAAGTTTTTGCATAATAAAGGTATGTATCAAACACGAATTATAAAATTTTTCTTCCAGTGACCTTGAACTTCCCCAATGACCTTGGGTCAAGGTCATGACACACCCTTGGGTCATAGGCAATCTTTGACTGAAATAAGAACCTACCAAATTTATCAATAAGAAAGATATGGACCGGACACGAATTATTAAATTTTTCTTCCAGTAACCTTGAATTTCCCCACATGACCTTGGGTCAAGGTCATGACACACCCTTGGGTCATGGGCAATCTTTGTATGAAATGATAACCTACCAAGTTTATCCTTAAGAAAGATATGGACCGGACACAAATTATTAAATTTATTTAAAATTAATGTGGAGTAGTAGATTCTAATGTCCCTCTGTAAGAAAGATATGGACCGGACACGATTGCACAGACAGACGGACAGACAGACAGACGGACAAGGTGATTCCTATATACCCCCCAAACTTCGTTTG